ATCTCCCTACGTTGAGCATTAGCCATCTTGCAAATGAATACACCATTGCACTAGCAAGCAACGGCAGTGAACAAACGGTGAATGTGATGAGTTCCCTACAAACATATACAAGTAGCATGTGATGAATGCTATGGCATCCCTTCAATCAAAGTTAGTTGGATTGCGAGTACATACAACAGCTCCTATGAAGAGTAAAAGACATGCAAGCAAATGCACAAAGAAACTAATAAGCATCATGAATTACCTATGAATGATGTTAATTAAATTATAACACTCATGCTTGTGAAAGGGGCATGATAGTCATAATGAACACCGTAATGTGTTCATGAAGGGTGTGCAATGAATATAGATGTATTCATATAGCCGACGCTAATCAACATCCAAGCAAACATATTAATTTCCTATGAAAATAAGAAAGCCAGCAAGCAAATGAATATAACAACTTGCCAATCAATGTGTGTAGGGAAATTAGTAATGAATGTAGCTCACCTGGCAGCCTACACCAACATACAAATGAACACATTAACTTGCCTACAATCAACTATAGGAGACTCGTCATGCACATGATAGCCCGCCCACAGGAAGCGAAGAGTGACATGTATCGACAATTGTAAAAAATAGCTGATGATTCATCATGTATATAATATCTTGCACATAAATCAAAGCAGAAAATTTGTTTTGAATATAACTTGCACTTAAGTAGGGAGCGTAAGCTTGAAATGCATACATAAGTCCACCTACGAGTAATGATGAATGACATGTAGTAGATGCCAAGACGTTCATATAGTCAACAACAATCAAGATTTCGGTAAATGCACTAATCCTTGCGAGCAAAAATGATCGATATGCAACAAATGCAAACACTAACAAGCCAATGCAAGAGATTCATTATGTACATAACGATTTGCCTGCAAGCTAAGCTGATGACTTTTGAATGTCCACTGACAACCCACAAACAATTTTGACGGAGCTTGCATTATGTGAAAGCTCACCTATATGAAGCAACAAGTAACATACAATGTAACATTATAATTCACTGCAAGCGAAAGCAGAGAATTTGTAATGAAAATTGTGGATCATTAGTAAAGAGAAGCATAAAAACTTCTAGCATCGGGATCTCACGCTGAACAGATCATCTCACTTATAAATGAGAGGTGGATGACACTGTTCAAATTATAAATATACAAGTTATTTAAAATCATGATGATGGTCGTATTAACAGAAAATCTCAATCGAAAGGGGATCTCAAACATTTAAAATGCCTCCAAATTCTCATAAAACACATTCAGTTGAATTTAATATATTCATGAATGATATTAATATTTGAAATTGAAATAAACTACTTAAACACTTAAAGCAAAAAAACTCATCCACCCTCTGCAACAATTTATCGGGATACGTGTATAAATCTAAAAATCACTTCTGCTCATAAAAAGCAATTATCTAGTAGAGAACATCACTAAAATCATTTTTAAAATATCTCTTACTAGTAAGGACATGGCACGTGTCCTCTAATTGGTGGTATCACTACCAAATGGTATCACTAATAAACGATTATAATCGGGACCATCTGATTAGGTGATTTTGCCGCCATATGGCACCATTAAATTACGATCATGGTCAAAGTCCATATGTTCCCAAATTCTTGAGTAATAAATTAATAGGAATGATCAATAGGGCATAAAGACCTTTGTTGGCTAAGGTAGATTCAAATTTATTTCATTAAACAAATATTCACCCTAGGTCTACAAGGTACCCTTTGACGAAGCAACCCATGGCTACTGATAAGGATCCTTCAGTTAGGTTGGGTCAACTACCTCCTCTGACTAAGTAGACCATGGATCATGATGACTCAGGATGACAAAACCATGGGATCTTGATCGGTTCATCATCATTTCCCCCACTATTCACTTTAAATGTAACGTAGTGAATTTCTAATTTTAAATATCAAAACTCTACTTTTACAATACACCGAGTACTACGTATATGTTTAACAACTAACCTTAATCGAAAGCTCTCTCTCTTATTATCGGGAGGGATATTTAACTATAAAGGCTTGCGCCTATAGGAAACCAAAACTTTGATCATAAATGCTCACAAAATGAGGGTGAAAAATCTAGAAAGTATCTTATTTAAAACCCAGTCTATCATCTAAACATTTGCCTTGGAACTTAAACATTAAAACTTTCCTCGATGACCTGAAAAAGAAAGGGGTCGCGGAGAGGTCGGGGCCTAAATTTTTGGAGCCCTCAAAGGGTTCATAGATTGTATCATTATTTATCTTTGTCACCCTTAGATAGAGAAAGCGAAGATGACATTTATAGACCAATCTTCTATAATCTTAGAGATGGCGTTCTATTTGAAGGCTCTTTACATATTATGTTATGATGCATGTGATGAACATAATAGATCAAATGAATCACAAACTTTTGAAAATTTTGCCATTTTTAGTTTGGTGTAGGGAATTTTGGGCTTAGATAGCACTTAAATTAGTGACACCCTAAATCATAGCTAAAGATAGGAGTTGTAATGCAAAGGAATCCAATGAACTATGAGTAGAATTCATGTTAATGTTGGTAGCACCTAAGAAGAGGAGGGTATGTCTATGAGTAGAATTCATGTTAATGTTGGCAGCACCTAAGAAGAGGAGGGTATGTGAGACAGGGTTTCTTTTAGAGAATTTGAAAGGTTATTTTATTCTATCAGAATATGGACTAAAAGGGGTTGGAAAGGGGAGATAAAAAATATCTCCACCTTCCATTAGATTTTCATAAGGACCGTCGATTTTATTTACTTTTTTAGATGATTTATCCTATAGATATGGTATAATTAGTTGAGATCCATTTGGAAAGGAGCTTTTTTAAGGAAGTCTAAGCCTAGCTCAGCTTCAATTCTTGGCCTCTCGGAAACTGTAAGGAATGAGGATGAGGATTAGAGTGAGAGCAGATTAGATTATCATGGTTAAAAGAGTTATAGGATTTGCAGGATATTAGCCTCCAATCATAATGCACCTCATGTTGGAACTTCACTCCATTTAGATTAATAAGAATGGATCATTGGAAAACTAAATAAGGGTTAATATGTGCACAAACCCTGACAAAATTTAGCCTCAATTGTTTGGTGGTAATGTTATTTGCAACCAAGGATACCTATTTTGCTTGTAACTTTAGGCAACCTTTCTTCATTCCAATAGGTAAGAGGGGAGTTTGGGAGATTTGATCCTAAGAGAGATCTCATCAAATTCTTCCCTGATTAGCTAGAAGTCCCGCTTCCTTTTTTTAAACAAAAATGACCCTCCATTCATGAAAGAGCTCCATTCCATGCCTTATCATAATCATCCTTGCAAGAGAATTTGAAAATAAAAAAATTTATTTCAAGAGTAAGTAAATTTAGGTTACCTTAATTTTATTTTATTTTTTTCTTTTGATATCAACAAGGAGTGCATTTCATAAGGGCATTTTCCCGATTTTATGACCAACTAGCGACTTCCCATTCCTTCAAGCTAGAGGATATGCTCTCCAAAGAGAAGGTATTAACCCTTTCTTCCATAATATATGACAAACCTTGCCCTCTTCTTCTATAATATATGACAAGAAAAATCCATACTATTCTCATTATTAGCAATAACTAGCTCCTAGTTTTATCTACTTTAAGCTATAGGAAGTATCTGAAGTGGGGAAGGGGCCTTAAGTTATCCCAATCCATAAGGGGTTCTTAATTTAAAATAATTATATCATTTTATTATAATAAATTTAAAATATTTATATTATGGATATTTATTAATTTTATAATTAAATATTCATATGAGTGGTCATCATCAAAATGCTAAAAAAGAAAAAAAAAAATATAAGTCAAAGCAACAGGGTTGATGGATTCTAGAAATAATAAAAAATAATGCCGAAGTTCAAGGTTGAATTAATTTGATTAAACAACAAATCCCAATATTGAGATTAAAGCCTCCATATCTTCCACAGTTACAAATAAAATTTACAAGCTAAAAACAAGTAAATTACTAGATCGAACAACGTCGAAGTCAAAGTTAGATCGCAACAATAACTTATCAAGTTTTGATACCATTTTGAAAACTTGACCAAAAAATGTTCACCAAAATAAATAAATAAAAAATCTCTTCTAAGAGTTTAAACAATCTACATAAAAATCTATGAGGGAGGAAAAGCTTTCAATGTTTAGAAAAAATAAATCATAGAATTCTAGTTGAATAAAAAAAATTTCAATGTTTTGTCATGAATATATTTGTGAGGGAGGAAAAGCTTTGGAGATTTAATCTCAATATTGGGATTTATTGTTTAATCAAATTAATAGAACCTTGAACTTTGGCATTATTTTTTATTATATCTAGAATCCATCAACCATGTTGCTTTGACATATTATTTTTTTTTTAGCATTTTGATGACCAGCCATATGAATATTTAATTATAAAATTAATAAATATATATAATATAAATATTTTAATTTATTAAACATAATGATATAATTATTTTCAATTAATAATTTTTAAGTAATTAAATATTAAAATATATGTTGTAGTTTTAATTTCTTTACAATTGATAATTTATTATATTACATCATTAGATCTCAAGAATACTCGTTAGAATTGTTCATGAACATGTTTGTTTGATCGTTTAAAAAAATTTGCTAAATATGTTCACGAACAGAACTCGTTAAAGCTCGATAAGCACTAAATGAACCGAACATGAACCAAACATGAACACCATTAATTTAAATTAACCAAACATAAACATAAACAATAAAGCTCGAATCAAACACGAACCAAACTTGAACAAGTTAATAATAAACAAACTCAAACATGAACACTCACATATTCGGCTCAGTTCGGTTCATTTCCAGCCCTACCTTCATCACCTCCAATTTGACGGGTCTGATTGCAGAAAAAAGACATTGATAGGTAAAATGCTCAAGCTCTTGTCTGTTAGTTCCCTTACCAAACATCCTTCAACAACAACAACAAATGTGTAAAATTTCAAAAAATATATTTGAGATGCATATTATCACTCCCTATAAGAGAGCACAGTATAATTTATCCAACTTCTGAATATATCATTCAATAAACACAAACCTCAAACCCAAATATAAACATAAAAACAGTCAAGCAACTATTCTTGCTTATTAATCAAGTTTGTGCCATGAACAACTAAAATTTTAGCTGATTTGACTATAAGATTTTAGACAATAATGATAACAACAAATGCCACTCATCTAAGACTCAAAGTTCTGGCAACTGGTGTTTCTTATAAGCAGATCTTGTCTTCCAGGCTTTATAGTTATCATCACTCATCATTTTCTCAACCTCTTCAAAAGGTAAACCCTTTGTTTCTGGTACAAAGAGAAATATCAGGACAAGAGCAATGATTGAATAGCAAGCAAACAATACAAATGTGTTTGCCGTTCCGATGGCCTTCGTCAAACTCAAGAATGTTTGCGTGACGATTAAGTTCGAAACCCAATTAGCAACAGCAGCCATTCCTCCACAAATTCCTCTGAACCTTAAGGGATAGATCTCAGAATTGACAATCCAAGGAGATGTTCCCATGCCAGGAGAGTAAGAAATGATATAAGCAGCAAGAGCAACAAGAGCAACCCAACCGAAATTGCTTGGGCAACCTTGGGTATACCAATCTCTATGTTCACTCTGGCAGGCATGTTTCATGGGTTCATTGGCTTCAGGGTTGGCCAAGCAAGCACCAGCTCGAAGCTGCCATTCATATTCAATAACATAATCTTTTCATCACTTCATAAATGAAATCATCATCAATGAACAAGTAAACATTTGGAACTGATTCTTACACTAAACTTTCGTTTAGAATAGCTTTCTTAATGTTTTATTTTTCAAATCACAATCATAATTTTTATTTGACAACTAATTTTTCGTTATTAAAAAAATTATACTAAAAAATTATTTTTTACAACAGTTTTTAAAAAATTACTTTATCTACAGTAGCTTTACAAAGCAATAGGAAAGAAATCCCAAACAAAAACTAAATTTCAATGTGTTTTTTAGTAGAAAATGAGTTCTTTTATTTTAAAATCTGTAAAGATGAGAAGTTAGTTTCACTTCTGAAAGCTTGAAGTGACTTTAATTTCTGATTTTGGCATAAAATAATGATAATGTAAAATAAAAAGAATTGTATGTCAAAAATATTACTTCTTTGTTTTCATAATAATACTAGAATAATATAAATTGAAACTTGTTGCAATGCAAATACATATTGAAATAGAGTTCATAAGAAGCTAGTTCATATAAAATATACTAATACTGTTGAAACCCAATTTAATGAAACTCAGTTTGAAAAACTTGACTGCAAACATATTAACACGGATACAAATTAGCTTCGAGAGTTGTGCCTTTGACTCAAGCATAACAACTTCATAAAAGTGGGAGATGTAAAATAGAGCTGTTCTTTTAGAGAAAACATTGTAAATTTAAGTGAAGCACGTTCAATAATAGAATAGTAAAGATGCATGGAGGATAGTGTGTAACTGCTTTGAACTGTAACGGTCAACAGAATAGAAATTATTTCTTCATTCTCATTAGTTTTAATTCTTAGTTAATCTTATGATAAAGATTTAGTACCAAAATATTGTGCATGGGAAAGTTATCTTACTTTATTGTCTTCATTAGAGCAGAATGAGCACTCGGCCTTCAAGCAGTCGACACATCTCCATTGAATACCTGAAGCAGCATTATAAGCAGGGCAAGTGAAATTGCTAAAATGTTGAGTCTCCATGAAACCAACATCTGGAGATTTCACTGAAGCAGCATAGAAAACACCACTCAAGACAGCCAACCATAAGATGATTCCGCATAAGCTGATGATCATTAGCCTTCTTCTACCAGATCGATCAACAAAATACATGCTTACAATGGAACCAACAGCGTTAAGACCAGAAGTGATGAGAGAGAGTGCCAATGCAGTTGAGTTTGAAGCGTAGCCAGCCAATTGAACAATAGTAGGAGCATAGTACATCACTGTATTGATACCACAAAATTGTTGAGCCACTTGACAGATAATACCAGCAACAAGACCCCTACGAACCATTCTTGTTGTCCATGCCTTTCTCACTTTACCAAACAGACTGTATTCACCAATGGTACCTTCCTCCGCAATTTCAGATTCAACAGATTGGCGCAAAAGATCAAGCTCCCTTGGAACCTCATCGGCAGGGTAGATCCTTTTCAAAATTGTTTCCGCATCTTTCTTCCTATCCTGCTCATTAAGAGAGGAAGAGAGCATAATTTTCTCAAAACCAATACATCAAAATTTTCCCATTATAGGAATTTAATTGCAATTAAAGATAATTATGATTTCACAATGTAGAGACCATCAATCAGATAAGTACATGAATTGTTGATGATATTTTAGAATGTAATATATGGTTGTGATTAATGAAATACACAAAGTAAAACAAGACTAAAAAAGGCTTTTATATGTTGTCTTTATCATCCTATTTTCCTAACATATTTAATGAATGAATAAACTACTAAAAAGAATATTGAAATTTAATCCACATCTGTTTTAACGTAAAAGATCAGAATTAACAGTGGGATCTTTATTTTGAAGCCTAAGTAGAAGATAACCATTAAAAAAAAGCTCTCCCCTATGAAGAGAAAAATCCACCTTTTATATATCTATCTAGACAACAAAACAATGAAATTGTAAGGTAGACTATATAACCTTTCTATACAACCATCTAGGCGATTCAGGGAGCATCAACATAAGGACAAACTGGATTAAAGCAGGCACCTTTTATATATCTATCTAGACAACAAAACAATGAAATTGTAAGGTAGACTATATAACCTTTCTATACAACCATCTAGGCGATTCAGGGAGCATCAACATAAGGACAAACTGGATTAAAGCAGGAAGTCCAGCAATTCCAAGCATCCACCGCCATGTCCCAGAAACCTACAACAATCAAAATTTGTTGTCAGTGTAATAATTTTACAGGGCATTGACAAGATTAGTTAAATATAACTATTTTATTGAGCAACTGATGTTATTAGTACCCGAGTAAAAGCAAGATTAATAAGATAAGAGAGGAACTGGCCTCCTGTAATTAGTAAACCATTTAGGCTAACTAGAGCCCCTCTGATTTTGTGAGGAGAAGCCTCTGAAATGTAAAGTGGTGCTGTCATTGAAGCCATCCCAACTCCAAGGCCAACAAAAATTCTTCCAAGGATTATAATTCCGGGAAGAGGAGCAGCTGCCATTATTATAGCTCCAGCAAAGAACAATACATCAGCAAAAAGAATTGATAACCTTCTTCCAAATTTGTCATTCATCCATCCACCAAATGCAGCGCCAACGATTGCACCAGCAACAGCCATACTGACAATAGTTTCCTGTGATCACAAATAGCACAAGCAAAGCTTATAGCTTCATCTTATTTACATATAACTTTATAGAATTATTTGACATGGCATGGCAACCTGGCAAAATGTACCTGGAGAACAGTGCTTCTCTCAACTTGCTTGAAGTCATCGCGAATATAAAGAAGTGCACCAGATATGACACCTATGCCAGACAAAATATGAGTGATCATCACTGATCGCAATAGAGAAAAACTGCTTTGCACTGTCTATTTTTTTCTGACATCCAGTTAGGGAGGTTTCAGGTAGTAGTAGGAAATTTAATGGTTAATTCATCCTGACACTAGTAATTATTTAAACAAATTGATGCGAGCATGAATATAGGAGTAGTGCAGTACCAGTATCATAGCCAAAAAGAAGACCGCCAATACCAGCTGACAACGCCAGTTGCAAGATGTATGGCCTTGTAAAACTCAAGCTAAGGCACTCTTTAAATTCAGTGGAGTCTGCCTTGTGAGGACCACCTTCCATCTTCCTCGCTTGCTACTCTACTTGTGGATTGCTTCCAAGAGGAAAGAGAGCACTAAGTTCGAAAATTAACCCAGTTTCTGCATTGCCGTGAAATAAATCACTCAGTGAGCAGTGAAATTCACCAAGCTAAAAAAATTTCAAAATGTAAGCAGAGTAAATGTAAAACTATTTTCTTGGAAAAAAATAATAAAGTTATGTTGAGGTTGTGAAGATTTTCATTTAACAATCACAACTGCACAATGCTAGCATCCTGAGGTATTTAGATCAACTTAGAAGTGTTGAATCGCTGACAAATTATGGCTTTTTAAGAATTATTTTAGGAACCAAACAAACTCTAAATGGAGTAAATTTACAGTTAAAACAAGCTTCTCATCATAACGATTGCAATGATATCATGAATATTCCAATTTGAAGGCATTTTTAGACTCAAACAACGAAATCAGATTGAGTTGGACCGAACCGGCTGGTACAACTTCATCCTCTTCATTCTTTTGATGTACAATGTACTGCAAATGAAATGAAGAGGCAGGTGCCACCATGCTGGGTGGATATGCAAGCATATGCATATTGCCCTTTGATCACTATGGAAAACATCCGTTTAAATGCAATCAGGCCAACTATATAAGAACTTATTGGAGTTATTAGTCTGATACGCCCTAGGGTTCCCAAGTTTGGGTTTGCCCTAATGCTCCTTCAAAGATATGATTTCTCCATCAAATCAAAGAGAAATAAACACAAGAGAGATGGGATGAAGAGCAAGAACCTTTGCATTTAAAATCCAAGAGAAAACAAGATACAATTTGTCCACTTCGAGAAGGACAAGGTCTCCCACTACAAACCCTAGAAAACTTAGAGAAAGAAAATAAGGTGGCTAAGAGAAAACCCAATTTTTGCATAACCCTAGAAATCCCCCCTTAATCCCTACTTATAGCAAGCAAAAGACCAAACCAAACCCACTAGTGGGCCGCCCAAGATGAACCGCCTAGCTCAGGGAAGACCCGAGCCAAACCGGTCCAGGATCGGACTGGTTCAGCTCAAGGCCGAACGGCCCAGCTCGCTCCACCTCGCCCCGTGCTTCCCTTCGCCTGGCCGACCGGCGCGGCTCCCTCCCCCGCCGCTTCCGCTCGCCAGGTGGTCGCCGACCCTCCCTCTGCTGATCGGAGGCGGAACGCATCATAGTCTTTACAGGCCTTCATTTGACAAGCTATTTGAGGTTTATGGTTGCTCTTGAGAAAGACAAATATTTTGAATATGGTGTCTATCATCACCATTTTTAGTAGCCCTAAATTTGATCCACAATCTTTCTTGAAATTATTGATGTCAATCTAACTGTCAAATTTTAATTCACCAAACTCCCGACCCAAGCCATTATCAATCAACTACTTTTACGGTGTTCAGATTTACATCGTCGGTAGCAGCCATTATCAATCAACTAACTGACCCGACCCTAGCCTGAGCAAATTAATTAGGTAGACCCAATAAAGGATCATCCCGTCACTTTCTAATCAATATAAGACATGCTTTAGTATACCTATTGTTAATACGAATAAGAAATATTCCAACATAATACAAAATAAGACGAAATACCTCTCAAAATCTATGAATAGACTCTAATTTTATTCCTTTTCGATAATATAAACCCTAAAATTGTAAAGAATGTTAGAGCTCTAAACACCAATTGAAACTTTAGGTCGCTCAATCAATCCCCTTCTATTCAAGAGAAGAAAAGTTTCAAGTACCTCTAGTTGCTCACCAACAAGTTGCTCAATTCAAGCCCTCCATTCATGAGGACTATCTTGAACATCTTCTTCAATCGCACACTAACTCTAGATTGCTCAGTCCACCCATTCCTTTAAGGAGGACTATCACAATTGCCTTTGTTCAAAAGTAGTGTTACAAATACCTCCAATTACTTGTTCGCCCTAGGTCATCCAATTCACCCCTTCATTCAAGAGAATGAATATCCTGATCAAGTATACTTGCCCGCCAACTCCAAGTCATAGAATCCATCCTTCGTCGATGAGGATTGTCTAGGCCACCTTTAATCACCCGCATACCCTTGGTTAATCAATCCTTCTTATTTCAAGAGAAATTATCCAGACTGCCCTTCATTACTATATAGAGCAAAACATGTTTGAAATTTTCCCAATACATATCAAATTTTCCTAGGATTCAACTAACTAGTTGCCAACAATAGATTCACTTACAGCTCTATGAACTAAGAATTGGTGAGTAAAGATTATTCAAATGTATTAAACTATTAATCTTACAAAAGGGGAAAATTAGAGGGCTCGATCTCAGATAATTCAAGAAACCTCTTTACTACATGAGTCAAGGCATGCCTTAAGATCCATAGTTTAAATATGGCAAAACATGCGACCAAAAGGAAATAAGTTAGTTTACAGCCCTAAAAGAGTCTACATTGATATTTGAGTGGCACATCTTGAAGTAGAAGTTTTAAGACCCAATTTTTTTTAGATTTTTTAATTTTGACATTCAAAACTAAGTAGGAAACTATTGGGCGATAAAGTTCTCCATTTGATCAAGCAAAAAACCATGGTGCAAAGCAAATATTTTGAATATTTAGATCAATTTGAAAGAGCTACATCAATTACAAATTAATACTTCAAAAATTATTTTAGGAACCAGATGAACCAATAATAAAAAAAAATTATTGTTTAAATGAACATCTCACCATGAAAATTATAATGACAACAAGAACGCCCAACTTTGAGCTTGATTGGGGGTTGAATGGACTGAACTAGCTCAAGCCAGACTGAATTGATTGATCAAACCTATTCCACCTCCTTCTCACGTACATGAGGTTGTGCATATGAAAATGAGAGGTCACTGCTACTACCTTGCTTGTCAACCCCCAAGTCATTGCTACTACGTTGCCGTTGGACTATGCGTCATTCGTAGTAATCAGATATTCTCTCTGCAGAATCATTTGTATGGTGCACTCCAATCATGATGGGACACGACTGCTTGCACATTGTTTGCCTGACTATATTTGAATTCAAAGTTTTTGCAATGTTTATAGGTGGGACTATTTAACAAGTTGTTTGTAATGTCTGTTTGCGTTTTAGGAAAATATTTTATTAAGAAAATGGTAGTATATCATAGCTATTTTTCAATGGTCCTACATTTGATCGAAAACAATCTCAAAATATCCCAATCAGTCCAGTTATTAAAATTTTGATCTTTCAACTATGTTGAATTTGAGGTATTGAGCTATATGGGATGCCACATTTTGTTCAACTGATCAGTGTCATCGTTGACACAGATATTCCAATCATACTTTGATCAAGGGAATGAGTGATCTAGTACATCTTTGATAATAATAGAGAATATTTTGATATAATATCGAATAAGATTGACATACCCCATTAAAACTAATAAATAAATCTCAATTCTTAATATTTTTGACAATTTGAACTCTAAAATTTTAGAGAATTCTAAAGCTATAACTACCACATAACACTCTAAGAACTCAATCCACCCCCTCCATCCAAGAGAAGTATTGTCCCAAACACCTCCAATCACTCATTCCCTCTCCATCCAGGAGAAGGATTGTTCCCAACAACCTCCAATCGCTCAATCAATGCACTCAAGTAGAAAGACTATCCTAACTGCCTATAATTGGCAGTAGGGTCCAAGTCATTCAATCCAGCCTATCTATTCAAGAAGACTATTTTGACCAACTTTCAATCGTCTATCGACTCCACGTTGTCCAGACACATACTTCCACAAGAATCATCTCAACCACTATTTGATGTTATCAGTAATTACACCTTTGGATTCCCTTTAATGCCACCTCCAAGGGAGGAACGATATGGTAATCTTCGATGTCCTTCCCAACATTCCTATGTTGACATGATGTTGCCTACAAATTGTGGTTTTCACCTCCAAAGGATTGATTTGATAATTTCTCATATCATCCACGACCTCCCTATGCCGCCACATTGCACCTAGAAGTCATGTCATCTCTACCATCAAAAAGAGGATCATCTTGACAACCTTCAATTAGCTTCATTGCATTCCTACATCATAATCATGTTGTCTTTAGGTTGTGTTGCTCCAACTCCATAGGGGATCATCTCAGCCATCCATAATGGCTTTCCTGACCATTTAGCAGCACCTTGCTCTTCGTTTCTAGGTTGTAAACTTCCTTTCAAGGATGAGAACCATCTCAATACTTAACCTCATCACATCATCCATATCGTAGAAAATAACAATATCTTGGATCTACTTGCATTGTATTAACGCCTTCTTCAAGTAAAGTGAAGGTCAATCCTTTGTAATTTAATATTATTTAAGACTACCACTGATGGAAGTTGATCTAATTAGACTAGGTCTCATATTTTTTTTTCTTTTAGGTTTTTTGTTTAAAAAATCTTATACCCTAATCTCTTTAATTATCTAATTATGCATGGGATGCCATTCTAAGCTAATGAGAGAAATTTCTCTCTATTAACTCAACTTCTAGCATGCAATAAGTAAAATTATAAAATAACAAGTGGAATAACATTAATAATTTAGGTAATATGTATAAATAATTACGAATGACTATTTCTAAAATTGAATAGCCTATGGGAAACTAAATAATCCCACGAAGTTAAGTTTGAAATTTAAGATTAAAGATTACAATGGTTAGATGGATTTATCTAACTACTTTGAGAAGAGATGAGTCCAGAGGGTAAGAAAAGAGAGAGTAAATATGTTTTATTTCCTTGAATTAGAGAGTTAGGCGCATCAATTTATATTCTCAGCTAAGGTCTAGAAAGGAAGAAAAATCCAAAAATATTCTTGCATGAGTTAACAAAGTATTTATGTACATCCTCCATGACAGCCTTATGTGTAATAGAGGAAAGCTTTCTTTCATAGTTCTTCGAAAATACTCATGAAATCAAAATTCTATGTATCACATGGATGAAGAGGTGAATCCTCTTTTTTGGTGGAGATATAAGTTGAAATATTTTATCCAAGATTTATAGATGTATCATCACATCATTAGTCACTTCAAGGACTTGCATGGTCAATTTTAAGGGCATTCATTCTATTGTTGACAAGTCTCGTGCATGCATGTCTGATTGGCATCCTCTAGCAATGAAGAAGTTTTTGGACCATTCTAATGGTGTTCAATATGTGGCTTATAAGCCTCTTGTCTAAACTTTGGCACTTCAACTCTCGAGTTTCATTTGAGTTAGGCTACGCTTTTTGAACTGAGGAGGTTACTTAGGTCATGAAATCAAACATGGCATTACTGCAAGGCACTCCTCAAGTTTTAAGTTGACTATGTCATACCAAGTTATTTGGGTATTCTAAATCACATGAGCTCTTTTGGCCAATCTTGCCAATCTTATTTAATTGGGTTACATATTACTCTATTCTTACATCTCATACCTGACTTAATTAATTAATTCAATCACCTAGAGATCTAGCTGTTGATCTCCCTACTACAGCCAAAAGAAAGAAACTATATATATATATATATAAATGCACAAATCATTACCTGCCCTAAATCTACGTATCTGCCCATACCAAAATCTCACTCAAATCACGTTCGTTGCATCTACAGTAATCATTCCTCTGTGACAACGCCGAAATGTCCCTTCTCCCACGTGCGAAGATCGCGTGTTTTGCCCTGTTGTTTCTTATGTTCGCGTCATTAAAAGGAGACAGAGGCAAAGCCTCTTTCTTCTTCTCCTGATTACTTTTCTCCCCACATGTGAAATCCCTCCTCTGCCAAACTCCAACCGCTGCCTTCTTCGACTCCTTACCTCTCTCTCACTACCTTCTCCTCAAAACGACCTAATCTCAAGCTCTAAACTCGCATAACCTGCCACCCTCACTCCCATACCCGTCGAACATCTCCGACTGCCGCAAACCTTGCGGCGCCCAGCTTCCACTGACGCAACCCTCTGAGGCCGAGCTCTACCCGCCTCTAGCCCTAACCAACCTCGACTGCACCTTTCCCATCCTCTATTGAATCCGAAATCCATCCCGACTCAAGACCGACGCCTCTTAACCTCATCTCACCAAAGCCAGCGCAAGCCCATTCTCCCTCCAGTTGACCTCCTATAGGCCGTCCTCTCCGACCCCCACTCCCGTCGACCTCCTCAAACCGCAAGCAACCGAAACTTGCTCTCTAGTTTGACAGCCCCTTCAACCCTATTCATCCCTAACCGGCCTCCATTGTGTCCAGTTAATTACTAGCTAGGTAAAATTATATGTATAATCCCTGGAGCTCAGTTATTATTTGATAGTAGCAGTTACTATTACAATTACTAATGATTATAATTATCATTAATTATAAGAGTTACGATTGATTATTGTTATAATTAACACTAATTATAATTATCATTAGTTATAACAGTTAGTAATTAACTGTTATTATAATTATTGATAATTATGATTACTATTAGCCATAATAACTAACTCTCGGTTATTTTTCTAATTAATATCAATAATAATTATGTGTTATAATTAGTAACAAATTATTTTTATAATCACTATTAATTATAATAGTTATTAATCAATTGCTATTATAATTATTATTAATCATAATAAGGATAGTTACTATTTATGGCCATTATCAAAAAAAAGAGGAGGCAAAAAAAGAAAGAGAAGAAGTCAAAAAAGGGAAAAAAGAAATATAAAAAAGAGAGGGAAAGAAGAGAGATTTCAAAAAAAAAAAAAAAAAAAAGTTTAAAAAAAAAAAAAAAAAAAAAGAGTTAAAAAAAAAGAAAGAAAATTTGAGCATTTTCTCATCGCGAACACCGCCGTCATCATCACCTCGCAAAGGTATAACTCTTCCAACTCAAAAAAATCCTGCTCTCCAGGCTTGCGACGAGCCGGCAAACTTCCCTACACACTCATGTAGTACAGTGGGAGAGAAAACGGTGCGACGCTTGCAACGAGGTGGATAAGCCTCGGAGCTCTCACACAACGTAACGAGAACGAAAATTAAGTACCCTTAAGCGCCCGTGTAACATAGCGGGGGAGAGAAAATTGTTTTCTTTCAAAACAGGTTCTCGAAGACCCGTAAGCGCTCATGTAGCTTAGTGAGGATTAAAGAAAATACAGTCACAGTGTCACTTGACATCTACCTGACGAGCTCATATAGCATGGAGGGGAAGGCTATGTCTCTTGGTTTTTTCCCTTACTAGGGGAGACGCTAGGAGACTACCGAAATTTCTGGTGAACAGGGGACTTAATTTGAATAGAATGCAAGAGACCTTGAACTCGCATGGACAGCAGGGAACCTATTTGAAATCAAATGATTAATAATTCAAACTTAAACTTGAATCAAATAATAAAACCTGAACTCAAATGAACTTGCACATTGAACTTAAATCTAATTCAAATTCAAACTTGACTTGAAGGATCAAAAGGTACCTGAGCTTGAATCAAACTCAAACAGCAGGAGACTTGAACAATCTACAACGAACATGAAATGGTTGTGACAATTCATATACAAGTATATGCTAAGGACTTGTGGACTTCAATATAACTTATAACATATCTACAAGCAAGAATTGAATGGAGAAATGCAATAACATGCTTATAATTAACAATAAAAGATTTTTAATGAACATAAGGAATTGTCCCTTCAATTGGAATGCAAATGTCATCAAGCAAATCCATCCTGCGAGATTTAAGTCATCTTTATATGATAGTGAAAGACTAGTAACATTCAACATGGCTCATCTACATGTAAGCAACCATGCCCATCTATTACGAATACAAGATCAAAATGCAGTCAAATGTATTGAACCCTACAAGCAATAGGGGTCAAAATATATGAAGAAATTGTTAAAGACTGAAGTTCATCCAACAGTCAACATTCACTTGCAAACACTAATGGGAAACAATGCGACTATAATGAATATCAAAGTGCGTTCATGAATAAGACATAGAAGCTCGGCTATAACTCTTCCTCGACTATAATTAGTAACTTTGATGTTACTTAGGTGTAAACAAATACACCAGACTCTTATAAGTGATGATATCCAGTATTAGATGGGTATGAAGAATCCCTAGCAAATACTGGTACACAGTTCAGCTGTAAGTAGCAGTAGTTGGTACACTACAAAGGCGATGAATCCTTTAAGACAATGCAATGTGCCATTCCCCAGCAAAGATCAAAGACCCTGAGCAAAAATCAATGTTTAAAATTGCGTATTCGGGTATTGAGGCGTTTTTCATTCGTGAGGCGAGGCGTAAGCCTCAAGGCATTTTGAGGCGTAAGCCTCAAAATCAAAAGATTGCGTAAACATAAATGATAATTTTTTTATATACTAATGAGTGAATAATATAAAACATAAAAAAAAAAACATAGGTTATGAAGTGAAATAAAAATATCTCAATAATAAGACAACATGAAATATAGTTCAACTCAAAATTCTATCTTTCCCAATCTCAATATTCTTTTCATTAACATATAATTCCAATTTCCAAAAATAAATAGCAATGACATATCACATAAGAACTCATAAGTCATCAGCACTGTCATCACTAAGGGGTTCTTCATTTGAATCATCATTATGGTTAACTGCTCTCTCCCCTTCCTCCTCTCCTATAGAGTCAAATGTTGGGCATTTACTTCAAGATTTATGTAAGTTTTAATATATATAGCGTGAGGCGTAAGCCTCATGCACGCCTCACGCTAGTGAGGCGAGGCGGGCCTCAACCAAGTTGAGGCGCAAGCCTCATAAAAAAAACTCGAGACATAAGCATCGAGGCGTTTTTTACTAGAATTGCGCAAAGGCGAGCCTCATATTGCGCAATTTTAAACCATGGCAAAAATATAAAAGAATTGTGATAGATGCAAGCATCTACAACCAATAGCAGAAGATTCGTTAATGCACAGTAATATACATATAGAAAGTAATAGATGCAATCTACCTGTATACAACGAGTAAATGGCCGTAGTGTTACACCACGCCACCGGATCCGCAACATGTATACAAGTGGACAAAAGGCATGTACGAGCTTACAAGTATAATGTTGTATTCAAATGAGGGTTTCCCACACAATTGAGCAGCATCAAATATTCCTAAAAATGCCCCCGCACATTCACCACAAATATATATACATAAATACAAAGAAATGCATATGCAATGATACACCTGCATTGGCCCCAGCGAGCGTGTTGTAGGAATACAGGTGAAGTCTAGGGATGCTCTGCGGGTCAATAAATTTGAACCCGGTCCTCCTAAGCAAGTACATAAGAGTAGACATGGTTCAGAAAATAATTATAAAATGCCCCCAAACACCGGCATGGCCGGCGAGCGTGTTACAGGTACACACGTAATGTCTAGGGATATTGCATTGGTCAATAAATGAGCCACAGTTCGATCCCGATCCTTTTATAGAGATTGATAGGAGTCGACACAGCTAAAATTATTAAGCAGATATACAGTCAAGGTGTCAACTGGAATATTTGTTTTATACGTTCATATAAGGCCTTCAAGACATATGAACAGAAAAATTCATTAATAAAACATAAAGTCTACCAAACCCGATCCTCTGTCGGCAAGTCGATAGAGTCGACAAGGTTCAATTCATAAATAAGAATTCCCCGTAATCACCTTGATGACGGCCGAGTTGACAGAAAATCTCAACCAATATCCAAAATGCCATCCCAAATACCTATAAAAATCCAAATTTCCAAAAATCATCCAAAATCCAAAATATTTATAATTGAAATTAATCATCAACTACTTAAAGCATAAAAACCATCCACAATAGTTTGCCGAGGTGGACAAATATGAAAATTAACTTCAGCTCACACAGAGCTTATGAGTTAATATCTGGTTGAGAATATCACTATGATTCATTCTCAAACAGTATCTTGCTAGTAAAGATGTGGCACATGTCCTCTAACTGGCAGTTTTGTCGTCAAATGGCACCGCAGGATAAACGGTTATAACCGTGACCCTCTGAATCCGGTGGTTTGCCGCCAAATGGCACCACTAAATTATAATTATGGCATCAAATCCTTGAGATATGAATCAATATGATATAATCGATATGGCACAAAACTCTCTATTAACTAAGGTGGATTCAAATTTGTCCCTTTACACAAATATCCACCCCAAGTCTACAAGGTACCCTTGAATGAAACAACCAATGGCTGCCGACAAGGATCCTTCTGTCAGGTTAGGTCGACTACCTCCTCTGACTAAGTAGACCAGGAAACATGATGGCCCGGGATGATGGAACCATTCGATCTTGATCGGGTCCATCATCCATTCCCACACCATTCATTTTAAGTGCAAGATGGCGTAATTTCAAATTTTAAATATCAATTCTTCAACCATTACAAATGCCCATACTACTATTATATGCCACATAGCATGTATTTCTACGTATCTGATCGACGACTAGCCTTAATCGAAAGTTCTCTCTCGCTATCAGGAGGGTAATTAACTATAGGGGCTTGCGCTTATAGGAAATCAATACTCAAATCATAAAATCCTCGCAAAGGGTGAAATCTCTAGGTAGTGTCTTATCTATAGACCCAATCTGCCTTCCCAAAATTTACCCCGTGACTTAATTAGTTAAAATTCCCCCGAAAAGCAACGAGGGAGGCCGGGGCCGAATTTTCAAAGCCCACACTTACCAAGGCATACAACATAGATCATTGCTTAAATGAAGTATGAAACAAAAAACATGTGGTTCGAATGATGATTATTTCTTGCAAATTGTCATGTCTTCTACTATGTTGCCTTGTGCTACTGTTCTTGAACAGTGATTTGTGGTGCTGAAATTGATAGATTTTTCATATTCATAAACGTGATGTGATTATTCCTCTCTTGAGGTAGGGGTGTCAATATTTGACACGACCCAAAAACCCGACTCGAACCCGATCTGAAAATTCCGGGTTATGATCAACCTAGACATGAAACTGGTCATGTTCAGGTTTAACAATTTGACCTGTTCCAAAAATCAGGTCGGATTCGGGTTAACCCTTTGACCCGAAAGTGACCCAAAATTGACTCGTTTTTTATCCAAAAATCCGTTTTTGACCTGGAAAACTGAGATTGACCCGTTTTGACATGAAAAGCGAGTTTGACCCTTTTTTTTACCCGAAAACTACCAATTTTTTCATGGTCCTGGGTCTTTCGGGTCATGTTGGGTTGACCCAGACCTGAAGCGGGTCGGGTTCAGGTCCGAAAAACCG